GCTGCCGCGGGGGCCTCTGGGGCGGCTGCTCCCGCCGCTGGGGCCGCCGGGCTACGTCGCTGCTACCGCCAGTCCGCGCCCGAGCGCGCCGCCTCTGAGGCCCGGCCGCCGCAGGCGTTACACTACTGGGCACTCATACCCGCTCTGGCGCACGTTCTCGGCCTCGCAGCACCGCCCGCGCGACTCAGGGGTCTCGTCCACCCCCCGCGCGCCAATACCCGGCCGGCCTCTCTCGGCGCGCGCCGGCTTGGCCGCAATATAATCGCCGGTGCCCCAGGTGACCTGCCCTGCCGTCTCCACTGTTTCCTCTCAGGCCCCAGGCGGCCGTGAACGCACCGGGACAAGGAAAAAAAAAGTGCGCCCGGCCCACGGGGACAAGCTTTGGCTTCGGTTTACAAACCCCCCGCTCTGGATGAAAAAGAAAAAAAACACCCTCTACCCGCCACCACCTCTCACCTCGCCCCCCCCGCGTTCCCCTCCCACCGTTCCCGTGGCCGTCGCCGCCGCCGAGGCTGCCGCCCCGGTGCGCCTCGGCGAGGCATTTTCGCACCCCGCCACTGAGCGGAGAGCCAGCGAGATGGGGCGAGATAACACGCGGAGGGATCCCGTGAGGAGGCAAGTCGCTGCGCCAGACGGGACGCATCACGCCGACCGGGAGATGCCTCCGCCGCCCTTAAAGGGGGCCCATAAAGCCGCAGTGCCAAGGGCTCGCCTTGAGCCTCAGGCCGTGGGAATGTGGGCTGCGACTGGCGGGGAGGGGCGTGGAAGAATCTTAGATGTTGGATAGTCAGGGAGGCCACTTTCCGGAGGCTGCAGAGCAAATGAGCCCCTCCCCAGGCCCCTAAAGCAGCCTTGCAGAGGTCAGCTGTGGCTTTTGCATCCTTGGACGCGCGGGCGCGGTTCAGGGAATATGGAGTGTAGACAGGCCGTGCATTTGAGCTTGGGCCTTTCTAACTGGTTTGATTAAAGGCCACCAGCATGGCCCCAGATCTTGGCATTATCAAAGCGTATCAAAGTTCTTTTCCAACCTAGCGGGCCTTGTGGAAATGAGATGTACATTTACCCTTGACGCACTGCACGCCTGGCTGAAGCTCCCAGGTTAATTGATATTTAATGGAAATCATGCCCATGAATATAGTTTCCATCATTTCACCCTTGATAGACGTCAGCAGCAGCCGCAAGGTGGGGGGAGGCTGAAGAATGCTGGAGTGGGGTAGGGTGGCATTAGCATTGCTGAGGAGGTAAATAGAGGAGAGGACAGAAATGTTCCTAGCCGGGAAGCAGAACGCGCGCTGGGGTGGGTGGCGTTTCCTCGGGCAGCACGCGCGGCTCCTGGGTCTCAGCCCTGGCGCGAGGCGGACCTGGACAGGCGGTGGCCCGGGGCGGAGTGCGGGGGAGGGGGGGGCTCCCCTGCCGGTGCCCCCATCGAATCGCCGGCTGGAGTTCAGATTACTCCGGTTTTAAGCTGCTGCAGGCGGCGACCATCTTCTGCTAACGATTTTAGTTCATCTGAGAAGCGGGTAAAATTACTGCCCAGAGCGGGTGCGGGGCTTAATTGATACTTACTAATTTTTCTAAAAGGAAGGAAGAGAAAGCTCAAGCCTCTAGACGAGGAAGAAGAAAAACAGCCCTCGCCATATGGGCAAGTCGGGTGTGAATTCGCAAAATAGACAGGATTCTATCCAAAACCACTGTTTTTGTTTTTACATCTTCAACCGCCACCTCCCCCACAATGCATATTCTTCTGCCCCTTATTTTGATGTCTAATAAATGTAGATGGTCTTTGTTGTATTTTTCCTAGTCCACTCGACCTTTTTCCGTGGGCTCTTTGGGTAACCGATCCCCTATTCCTGTGGGATAGTTCAATGTTTAGGGGCACCAGGCCCACCGGCCTTAGGAACCAACCTGGGAGACGTCCAGGCTAACCTAAAACACACCACTGAGGTTTTCCACGCCAAATGCAAATGTTTCGCAAATGTCCAGACAACCCAAAAGGGGCAGCACAAGATTGATTTCGACTACACCTCCAGACTGTGACGGCGATCGTTCCAGCTGGACTGAATACCATATTTTGTAAACAGAGAAAATAAGGTTGCGATGGAATTACATATAGCAAGATAAACATTTCCTGCTACTATTGTAATTATTCCTAAAGGATATAGTTGGAAATAGGATATAGTTAAGGTAAATTGATTACCAATGAACATGCTGCTGATAAAGGCAGACTTTTGAAGATTGTTAAAATTAGAAGGGAGTGCAGGAAACTTTTGATATGGATGATAGCCACCCCTCCCCGTATTGTCTATAGGTAAAACTTCCTTTAAATCCTGATGTGAAGGAACCAATATTTACTCGTAAAGGTTTATACTTGAACCTTGCAGCTACTCAATTAAAAGATTATTTTCAATAAAATCTTGGAGCTGTTATTGTTTCACTGTTTCCTCATGTGTGCGTGTGAGTGAATTTTGGAATGGAGTGAGGGGAAATAGAAGAGCGAACTTAAATCTCAATAGTACAGGGCACCTTGTAGAACATGATTCCTTGGGGAAAAGAAACACGGACGCCACAAAATTCATTTGTATGCATTCCGTCCTCATTTAGAAAGCATTGCAATGCAACTTTACCTTTTGGGATAAAACGCTTAGCTTTAAAAAAAAAAAAGAAAAGAAAAGAAAGAAAATTTTTTTTACGATCTGATTAGTAAAAGAGCGCGTTTAACTTCCAAAATAAAGGTCTATGCTTTTACGCGTTTCTATTTTGATAAATGCATTTAATTTAATAAAACGTTTTCGTTTCAGCTGTGCCATAGCGCAAATTTTCTGAGATTCTGATCGAGCCAAAATTTGATACCTAGCAAATATGGCTGGAGAATTTGATAGTGTACATTGTTTATTTTTCTTGAAAATTATCCTAATTTAGGATTTAAAATAAGATTGTAAATATTTTAATCAAAACCTTTCTCCGCCGCAACCCCAGCTTTACGAGATCAGAGAGTGGAGCAATAGCGCCCTCTAGTGGCTAAATGCCACCTCAAGACTACCGAATTTAACTTCCCAGCCCCTCCTTTTTAGCCAGTTCCAATCTTGTTTGAATGGGGCTTGGACCGCTGACACTAATAATGCATTATCCCTTTTATTGTCAACAAGTCAAGTACAGCAAACAGGGGCTCCTTGCTGCCGATAATATTCCCATTTCTGCTCCCAAGAGTTTCCAGTGATACCTTTTCCAAAAACTTCCTGCTCTTTGGCCAGACACAGTAGTTCTTCGTTCCATAATGGCTCAACTATATTTTTAAAGTACAGTGACAGGACTGGCTACACACAACAACAACAACAAAAATTTTTTTTACAACTTTCCAAATATCGACTGCAACAAAATTTCAGAGAATCCAGACATTCTGCAAACTAAGAAATTATAGAAGTCAATTTTTTTCTTTTAAAACTGCTATTCTGAATATTAACTCATGAATAGCTGCTATTTTAACTTTGTTATTTTAACACTCCAAGGCCGTTTGGTTGGTAGATTTTAGAGGGATCTCAGTCCAATTAGAAGCTTTATGATGGATCTCTGAGTGACTGACTGGGAAGTCTTATTTGAGCTTGAATTCGTTCAAGTTTCTATAAAACTTAAATAAAACGCCACTTATTAAAATGAATCGACTAAACATTCTACTTGGGTTTTTAAAAAGAGTGAATTTCATTCACTTAGGTGTTTGTTTCCTGTGAGGTTAATCTTTTCTTTCATTTTCAAAAATATTTTCTTCCGCTAAGGGTAGAAGAAGTGTACTTTCTATAAGCAAAATAGATATAATCTTCAATTATATTTTGCTGCGAAATGTGGAGTGGAGGGCTAGATATTTTTGTGAACGCGTCTGGATAACTTTGTTTTCTTACTGACCATTCATTCGGCTGAGACTGGAAGACCCAAGATAACTAACTCCACAAATCCTATCCCACTCCCCAAATCATAGGCCGGTTTTATTTTGTTTTGAAAATCGGCTAGAGCTCAGCGATTGTCAAAATGTTATTTAAAAGCCACCCACCAGTGGGCTACTTTTAATTCCAGGACCATTTTTTAAATCAGAAACACACCACTCCCTCCTCGCCCTCACCCCCACACCCTGTTTTTATTTCCTGGGTGCTCACACCTCACCCCGGACTCCCAAACCCCTGTCTTCTTGGTCCAACGCAGTCTTGTTTATATTTTATTGTTCAGATTTTAAGACCCAGTTTTGTCTGCATTTTTCCTTTCCTCCCACAAACACAAACATCAAAATGAGAAGGTTTCAAAGCTAAGCGCCGGGCCTGTTGTAAACTCATTACCTCCAGACGTCTCGCCGGCTTGATGGCTTTATGACACCTTGGCTCTTCCTGTTTTCAAAGAGTCCTAGGTATCAGGCTGGCCACAGGGGCGGGGGCACGCAGCACCTTCTGCCGGATCTGGGCCTTGGCTTTCCCTTCCAGGCCCCCTCAGCTTTTTGCCCCCAAGTCCCCTCTTTCATCAGGATCCCCAAGAAGATCTTTGCCACCACCCCGCCTTCCGCCCAGTCCAGGCTGCCTGGCGCCGTTGCTTCTCGAGCCTGCGAAGGCTCTGTTTGCCCGAACTCTCGCTCACAATGACCTTCATTTTAGCCTCTGAATGCGGCCCTCAGAGGGCTGAGCTTGGGGCTAAACACACAAGCTGCATAGGGGCAAGAGGGGCCGGTGAGGAGGGGGTGGTCGGGAAGGGAAGCCTTGACCATTTTGATTTGCTAAGGTCACTTTAGTGCTCCAGTGGGGAGGGGCGGAAGCTTACAGACCCGCTAGGCCTTCCCGGAGTTAGCCGGTCAGCCGAGTTGGGGGGAGTCGCTCCAGAGCGCAAAGTGGACTTTTCCCTTCTTTGGAGAAGGGGTTCATGAGATGGGAAAGGGGAAGGAGTGGGGTGCCAGGGGTTCAGGGGAAAGTCCAAGCTCGCGGGTGCCTGGCTCCTGCGGTCTGGTAGCTCCGCTGGACGCTGCAGCGAGGTTAACACTGGGCCCTGGCACTGCTTTCCTGCAGGCGAACCAATCTAGGGAGGGAAGGGGACGCCAAAGCCCCCAGCCCAGGAGCTGAGCTCTAGGCAGGGCTGTCCACAAAGGGAAGCTCTGAGGCTTGTCCCGGAGACGTCTCAAGTGGAAGGGCCCCAGAATTTTAGCAGTGCCTCCCTACGGGTGTAGAAGGAGAAGTCCCCGTGAGGGTGATATTTTGCAGAGACAGAGAAAGGCACACAGCGTCCAGGGCCAGAGTCTGGGTTCCATTTGATCAGGTCAGCATTTATTGGTAGGCAGCGGTAACATTTACAACTGGTCGGTCAGGAGCCACAAGGCAGCCACCCGCGGCCGCCCACGTGAGCCAGGCTCCTGAGCATGGAGAACCCCCACCCAGCGGAGTCTGGCCTCCTCTCCTGGCCTCCCCTGAGATTCTCGGCTGGGGGCCCAAGGGCTCCCTGAGAAAACGGGGCGGCCTTCATAACGGGTGGGCGAGCTGGCTGGGCCTCCGGGGCCTGGTCGGACAGCCAGGTGCCCGCACTGTCTTCGCTTTGCCTTCTTCATTCTGTGAATTAGGACTCCCCTGGCCCCTCCTTGTGCAGGACTAGGGACTAAACTACAGCATTTTTATTTATTTATTTATTTTTTTTTTTCAGAAATCTGGGGGACATTGACACAAGGGAGGACTCCCTAAGCCAGCGTGCACTCACAAAGATAGCATTTCCACTAAGGAACCAACAGGGAAGGAGGGAAAGGGAGCAGGACACAGCGAAACTCCAAAGCCACTTGATTTCTTCAAACACGTTAGAGAGCAAATACAGTCCCCCAAATAGCTCACAGACACCAACCACACAGTCACTTCTACCTAAAGGGAAAAGGGAAAACAAAGTCCAAGTCGCTGGAGAGTTTCTGGAAATCAAGCACCCCTAAAGCAAAACCCCCACTCCCTTGGCAGAGCAGAGTGGTGTGTCTGGCGCTGGGTCAGTCTCCTTTGGGGCACTTCTCCTTGCTCATCTTTTTCATTTTCATCCTACGGTTCTGGAACCAGATTTTGACCTGTCTTTCTGTGAGGTTCAGAATTCTAGCCACCTCGTATCGCCGGTCCCGGGTGAGGTACATGTTGAAGAGAAATTCCTTCTCCAGCTCCAGCGTTTGGTATTTGGTGTAGGGGCAGCGCTTTTTCCGCGTGGAGCGAGCGTGGATCCAGTTCGCTGCCGGGTTGTCTACAAAAAGGGGGGTTTGGAGAAGGGGAGAGGGGCGGAGGGGAGGCAGGGAGACAGGACAGGGTGGGGGAGAGAGGTTGTTAAATTAATTTCACCAAGGATGGCCGCTTTTCACAACTTGGGGGGAATTATCATAAAAAGCCTTAATGCCCGCGCTCTGTTTACCGTACGAACCGCGCGCCCAGGGTAGGTGGTTATGGGAAGCTTTTTTATGGATGCGTGTTGCTAGCCTAGGCTGGGGTAGGCGTCTAGACGTTTTTATAGGTTAGTAAAACTATCAGTTTTGCACATTCGAGCCTTACAGGTTTCAGCAATAAATCAGGGGGCAATTTCTTTTGCACTTACTTGGGTCAAGTTGCTGCTGCGGCGGCTGCGGATGCTGCTTTTCCTCCTCCTTCAGTGGGCAGTCGGGGCTCGGGTGGTCGCTGCAAGCCAAGGGCTCTGACGAGCCGCCCGCCACGGACCCGGACCCGATCCCCGCCCCGGTGCCCGCCGCCGCCGCCGCCGCCGCCTTGTCCCGCAGGAAGGAGTTGCAGGAGAACTCGGGGCCGCCGCTCCCCTGGGACTCGCGGGCCGCGGAGCACTCAGTCCGTTTGGAAGAGGAGGAGGACGAGGACGTGGAGGAGGACGTGGAAGTGGCGGAAGCGGCGGCGGGGGCCGGGGCCGCTCCAGTTTCAGGCTTAATCCCGTAGTGGCGCCCAGTGGCCGG